CTATAGTCCGTGGGGTTGCAAACCTGAGCACACAGGCATGTGTATCATAATTGTTATATTTGATCACTCATTCACCTCCTCCTTCAAAATAAAATCAAAGGTAATAACACCAAAATAAACCAACAAACAGTAAAAGATGAAAACCAAATGAAAATGAGGAAAGGCAATATATATAAGCAGCAATTGAGCCAACAAATAAGTCTTTAAGTTTCTTGAGAAACAGACAGAGGCGCCATGAAGGGTGGGGAGAGGGGGTCCCAGGTTCTTTCCTAAGTGTTGACAGTACTCCAATGCATCAGGAAAGGAATCCCTCAAACCCTTAGAGATGCAAGGATCTTTATCTAAAGCATGCTAAACAGGGTATTAAAACGTGTTCGCAAAAGTGATTTAACAAAACTGGAGAGGTTTCTTCATTTTGTTTGCTCTTGGTGAAAGCTGAGGATTTCATTCAATAAAAAGCTGCTGAATTTGGACAAGGGTCAGGGTGACAGTCCAGATGATGTGGCTTTCAGCTGCCTGCTGCCTTCAGAGGAAAGCTTGGAGAAGCTGGAGCATTTTAAGGGACTGTATAGCATAGACCAGCCTTCACAAGTAAAGTGCTTTTGACAGCTGCTGAACGAAAATTGAGGTTTGAGGTCTTGCATGAGGATGGAGAAAAAAGCAGGAAAAAACTGCTATGACACTACAGCAGAATTAAATGCCAATAGCCACTGTGTTCAGTTAGAAATTAGAGAAGCACTATGTTAACAAAGAGGAAAAAAAATGAAAAGAGAAAATATATAGGTCCTTAGAAACCCAGGGGAGAAGCACAAACAAAAAGAAATTTGGAGAAAAAAAGGATGAGAAAATCTTTCTTACCAGAAACTTGAAAAAAAAAAAAAAGACACAGGGAACACATTGAAAGCAGCCCACAGTTTAGGTCTTTGGGAGTTTAAGAAAAAAACCTTTCTGAGGGAGGTTAGTGAGTTTCTGGTATTCAGGAGCTTCTGTGTGGTCAGACTGGGCAACTGGGGTACCACTAATACCTCCAGAAGGGGAACTGGATTTTAGGGTCCAAGAGAGAGGACCAGTTTTCTCCCCATTGTATCCTACCCTGACTGTACAGTGCAGTTGCTTAATAGATACTTGTTGAGTAAATAAGTGAACTAGTAAATGAACCCCAGAAAAGCTAATTGCCAGAAACAATATCTATCACAGAAAATCACAATATCTATCACAGACACAGAAACAATATCTATCACACTTACAGAAGTTAAAGGTATTAATATAGGTGTATAGTATTTCGTTTCCCCAAAACACCACCAGAACAGGGGGACAAAGGGAAAGGGGTGCAAAAATGAAACATTCATAATGAAGAATGTATTGCATAAATAAATAGAGTAAATATAGCCCATGTTATGTAATAGAATATTAACTATAGAACTCTAGCATTCAAATAGGAAAATATGCATGCCATACTATTAAATGAAATAAATAGTTGGCAATAAGTAGATCAAGTATGACTTCAAATTTGCAAATCACAAAGTATATGGGCATTTTCTATGTATTTTTCACTGAAAATAGCCTGAAATGTTAACAGTGCTTATCTCTGGATAGTAGGACTTTTGATTACTATTTTGACTGTTTTTAATACTGCTCTTTCTTTAATGAAGATCCCTTCCCCTTACCTTATATTCATAATCAGAAGAGTAATAAAGTGACTTAGGAGCAAAAAGTAAATTACTCTCCTGCTATAGTCAGATAGTATGTATTCTTGTTCCAATTCTGCCTGGGGACTCTTTAGGAAATTATACTGCTTAGACCCAGTTACTTTACTTGGAGATTAGAAATACTAATACTGATATGTGGCCTTTCAATTTTACAAAGCACATGTGTGGATGGAATGAGCGAATGCATGGAAAACCATTCTGCAAACTGCAAAATACTAGGTGCATAGAACAGGATAGATGGGGAAGGGCATTGGGATGATGTGGAAAATGAAAGGGAAGATGACTTCACACCTTTGAGATCAGAGTAAATGAGTGTAGCCCGTGGTAACATTTATAGACATCATTAGAACAATTTTCTTATGGGAACTGAAAAAATTATATAGAGTGTTAGATTATGATATTTTCATTCTTGCCATCAAGTTGTATAAAGATGGCATGTGGGCCTCCTTAAAAATTAAACTAGGTCTCTGCCTGTTGTTTCATTATGCACAAGATTACAGGAAGAGAAGATATACTCCCTCACCTCCCACTCAGAGGTTATGTGAGTAGTGAATATAAGGTAGCGGATGAATCAATAAATATTCTTATTTAATTCCTTAAGTAAAAACCTGCCTAAAAAATAAAAGCAAAAGCATAACTAATCATAACAACTTCTTTCCAAATTCATAATATCCTCTGTGTCCTCTTGATCAAGTCCATTTCCCTTGTCGACCTTCAGGATCCTCATTTGTTAAATAAGAGGTGTCAGCTAAGGCATCCCATAAGTCCCTTTAAATAGTACGTTCTATGAGTCTCAGTTACCAGTCTTTTGTAATGATGATCATCCCTTCCTACATATCTGTAAAAATGCTGGTCATCCCTTCCTACATATCTGTAAAATAGGGAATCCGAGCAAATTATCACCTTTCCAGTGACAAAGACATTCCTCTGGCTTCGCTGAGAAATCTTGCTCAATGTTTGCTGATGTGGCTGACACATTATACTAACATGTCATGACTCAGTTTAACTTTGGGAAACTTATTTAACCTTTTAGAGCTTCGGTTCCTTCATTTGTAATCCAGGAATAAGAGAGTACCCAGTTTGGCGGGGAGCGGGAGGTCTTTGTGGCATTGCATAAAATACTTGACTCAAAATGATTAAAGCAGTTCCAGCACCAGGTACGTGTACAATGAAAACTCAGTAGTGTCACTGACCTGACAAGTTTCAAGTTTTTTTTTCCCTAATTTTTAGAACTTAGCGCTAGTTGTGAGAAACCAGGCATTGAAAGATAGAATTTGACTTAGAGACCTATTTTTTGATATAAAACTCTCTGCAGAATCACATCCCACACAATCTAAAGAATGCCATATTCTTCCATTAAATCTCAAGTGGCTGAAAAGGCTAATCTTCTTGAGCCTACATTTGACTTCATTGGGGTGTACACAAGCTAAACTATACAAAGTTAAGCTACAACAACAACAAAAAATGACCCCAAATTAACATATTGTTTTTGTGCAAAAGGATAAATAGAGCATTTTATTAACACTTTTGTTTTTGCAGCAACAAAATGATAGTCCATATCTTTTCATTCAACACAGTAAAAGCGATGATCACATTACATCACTTTGAGACACAAAGCAAAAGATATTTTTATTACCTTAAGGTCAAGAATGGTTTGCGTTTTTAAAACAAACTTTACGTTTTATATTTGCAGTAGCAGGGCCTCCAGTCACTAGCACAATACAATGAACAGATCAAATATCCAGAATAGACAATTAAACACATCAATAATATTTTAAGTTGAATTGGGAAATGTATCATTGTCATTTTCAAACATTATAAAGAGGTCTGATGTTAACTTTTTAAAGGAAGAAAATCATTCCAACCACCCAAACAGCTACCGCAAGCAAAATGAAGATAATATACAGACAGGAAATTTTATGCATTGCACTTATTGCTCGGTACACAAATGTTGCAATTTCTGTTGAGTTATATTAAGAAATGACAAGCAAAATGCCTCTGCCCCATCTAAAATTCTATGACTCTATGAAAGTAGAAATTGCAGTCCCCTAACCCAACATTAGGTGTATGCTATTTTTGGTTTTTTGTGAAGATCATTTATTATGTATATGTGTATGGATATGCATAAGATATACAGATATATATATAGATATAATTTTATATAATTTATTGTCCTATATATTTAGGACAAATATTTTAGTGGGAATTTAAATAATAAAATCATCTACTTACAATATCTCTATTAATTTACCTTTTCATATTATATATAGCTCTGTGGCACAAGTTTCATATATATTTAATCAGTAAGGAAGAAAGATATCTCTATCATGTCTATTTCTTTTGCTGTTAATATTGCATTTTAAGGGCTATATCTCCATAGTAAATTTCTTATTAGATTCTTTATGGTGTATGCATCTTTTTTTTTCCTAATGCAAGTTACAACCAGTACAAAGTTGTAATAAAAAATACATTGAAGTCTATTTATTTTTAACCTTTTTGCAAAAAAGTTATGTGATATGCTACATGAAAAGTCAGATTTTATTGAAGTGTGAAGTGTTTTATACTGTTAGGTAAATGAATGGAAGAACATGAAGCATACCCCGCACTCTACAACTTCTTTCTCACAGATAAAAGTGTTTGTGCCCAAGCATTTCATATAAAACACTGCAAGATATTCCTCTTGAGAATCAACAAAATAGTCTACATTTTGTAATAACAATAATTATTTAGTACACCTTGCTAGTTGCTAGCCCACAACATTCTTCTCTACATGAGAGAGAGCTCAAACTCTATGATTTATACTCAATAAATGTTGCCAACACCTGATGCAGCCAACATGACAACTTCACCTTTTTTTAACAGGACTTCTGCACAATATCTTGCAATACAGTGTAACAGATATGTAAGTGCATTTTGCATGATCAAGTAGCTTTGGCTTCCTAACCTTTGTAGGATGGGATGTGCCAACTGTTTTAGTTGTGCTTTATTAAATGGTGATGAGTTTTAACTCATATGAATCTAATGAGTAACTAACTTGCTTCTACAATTTTGACCAGCCAACCTTTAAATCACAAATGCAAGAATGGATGACTTGAATGGAAATGATGGAATCTCACAACTTCTATAGATTGCACTTGATGGTAACTTCATGAGTTTGTTTTGATTTCATTTTTACAGCAAGACTTGCCTGGTTGATATGTGTACATGTTTATACCACATCTTTTAAAAGTTTTGTGCAATCACAATTAATTTAATCACAAACACTAAAAATAAATCCAGCAATTAGCTTTGTTATGAATAATCATCTCTGTCCTTATAGTTGTATGAGTCTTGAACGTCTTCTTGTACAAATTCCTCTTTCTTTTCCCAACCATTAGGCCAACCTCCATTGGCCTGTGTCGTGGCACCATAAGACTTAGTGGTACCATAATTTATATAATTTTGAGTAATGTCCCCTGTTTCTTCATCGAGCTCATCTTCATGGATAAATCCACATTTTTCTTCACTTGTTTCCTCAGGGTCTGCCCAGGGTTGCTTCTCTCCTGAGGCGAATATTGCATAAAATATAACTCCACCATAGTGGACTAGGGCAGCGATCAGGAAGACATACTGCCACTCTTCACGTGACTGCAGTGACAAAAAGTGGCACTGTGAGGACAAACTCCCTGGGTTTGAAAAGCCTAACATCTTCTCTAAATGTTCCACCATTAAGCGTTTCCTAAAATGCTATCTTCAGGGGAAACCCTTGTTCTGATTATATTAAACAAACACTGAGAGAAATGTTCTATAATACTGTGACTTTCATTATTCAAAACTTTCTAATCTAAAGTTCTGAAATAGAACTTCAAAGATATCTATGGTCAGCTAATTTTTTAAATATTCATAATCTCTCTTTCAATTCCATTGAGTTACTTAGTTCTTTTCTCCCACTTCTTGCCATCAGAGAAGCCCTAATTTAGAAACTCTACCTATAAAGACAAATACTGATAGCAACATTCGTCCATCAATTACTACAGAGAAGTTTAAATTGATGTTTACAAATAAAGCTGAGAAGATTTCCATTTGTCTATTCAAATGAGCTAGGATGTTGTTGCTTTGCCACACCAGAGATTCCAGAAATATTAGAAGGTGTTGAAAGTATAACCTTTATCAGTTGGAGAAGCAGGCTTCCTCAGAGTTCAGAAAGAGATTCTCTTCTGAGCCAGTTATCTCCCCTACTCAGAGATGTGGTGACTGGACCACAAGCAGAATGCCAAAGAGCACATACAGATGCTTTTCCTAATCATGAGAGAGAATATTCCACAAATGAACATTTCTTGCTCTGTCTTACCTTATTCTTTGTCATTGCACCAACAATAATAGGGCAAACCATTCCTGACAATGTGCCAACACCATTCGAAATGCCCATTAAGATACTGGCATATCTTGGAGCAATATCCAAGTGGTTGACATTGAAACCTGAAATACACACAGAAGATGTGACTCAGAGAATCCCAAACCTTGCAGAAGTAGGTGGCTACAGAATATCCTCCACCACCCTCACCAACCTCCTTAAAAGATACCAGGTTCATAGCATGTGCTTAATAACTATTTTTGATAATTTAGCTCAGGGATATAATGAGAATAGAAAGAGGTATGATTTGTTATCCAATACTTAACACGTGATATTTACTCCACAGAGAAGAGAAGATGCTCATTTTCAAAAAAAAAAGATAAGCAGGGAGTAAGTAAGTAGTGAATAGTAACAAATCCCAATGTGTTAGTTGCTCAGTCATGTCTGACCCTTTGCGACACTATAGACGATAGCACACTAGGCTCCTCTGTCCATGGAATTCTCCAGGCAAGAATACTGAAGTGGGCTGCCATTTCCTTCTCCAGGGGATCTTCCTGACCCAGGGATCGAACCCAGGTCTCCTGCATTGCAGGCAGATGCTTTACTGTCTGAGCTACTTTCATCGTTGTTATTTTCTAGTGGAAATATATTGAGTAAACTTTCTCAACCGTCAAAATGTTAAAGAGGAAAGTAGAATATAAATTTCTTTTTATCACTAGCAAAAATCAGAATGTTACAGTATATTTTTTAAAAAAAAGTATCTTACCAGAAATAGCAAATCCACTGAATCCCACTGCAAGTACCAAGAATGAGATCGCTACCCCTCTAGTGTGAGAATAACCAACCACCAGAAGAAGCGTTGCCTCCATGCCAAAGCCTTCAGAAACAGACATATGAAAATACTTCAGAAATTTATGGAAATGTTTCCACTGAATCAAAACTATTAAAAATGAGCACACTTATTTGACCTAGCAAAACACTGCAGGGATTCTATCTTCAAAATAATAATAACAGTAATTTATTCACAGAAGTTACTGAAGCCTCCTTTGTGTTTTAAGAAAAACAACAAAAACAACCTTCAGTTTCAATAGTGGGAGGGGTCAAGTTAGTTATGCAATTATCTAAAACTAGAAGTTATGAATATTTGAAGATGGGAGACTGATTCTGAATGAACATTGAAGGTACAAATCTAATAGCATAGGTGATATGCATAGAAAAAGTTGATTCATGTCGATTCGAACTTTGTGAAGTAAAAACATGTTCTTAACATACTTACCACCACAATTCATGATCTTCCTTACTGTAGTAGTTGAAAGAATTTGCTTGCTTCTTAGAAAATCTGCAATCTGCCCTCCAATAGGCACAATAATTGTCATTACTAAGTGTGGCACAGCAGATAGCATGCCAACCTTGATGAAAAACAAGAAGGAGAGAAATACCAAAGTAGAAAAACAAAAAGGAGAGAAATAAGTAATGTGGGCAATTTAATGGTCTTGTAAGCTCTTTATGGACAAAGGAAGGAAAAACTACTGTCTGTAAATGACCACTTACTCATTCTCAGAGTAAGCAATAACTTCCATATAATAAATGAGAAAAGCTAAGTAAATTTACTTTGATTCTTTCTTCTCTTCTAGAAGATAACACTTCTTTTCTGCTATGAGTCAGTAAATCTTGAGTTTCTGAGTAAACTATCCTGAATTTTATCACAGAATGATTCACATTTATGTGCTTACTTTATAGTCTTAAATATGTTTGTAGAAATTCATCATTAGCAACAGAGGAAAAGAGAGAGAGAGACAGAATCAGAGAGAAGAGAAATACATTTGACAAACCTTGAAGAGACTATTTTAAAATTTGTTTTTAATTCATAATAAAGATAAAACCTTAATTGCATGTTAAATATATATTTCTAATATATATATATAAATATATATATAAAACTCATATATAAACTCATATATATAACTCATATATATATAAAACTCATATATATATGAGTTTTATATTTAGTTTCTATAGGTTAAGAGCTCAAAAAATACAGATCAATTCTCAATTTTAGGCACTTTCCATGTCAAATACCAATATTTGGTTACACTGTCACATAGCATACTTAGTTTCTGAACTAATTTCATACTAAATGGCCCAATCTAAAACCTAACCTGCCAGCATCAATTCAACAAACATTTTTTTGATCAACAATTATGTGTAAAACACTGTCCTCTGGGCATCATGGAGGCAGAAATTGTGAATAAAATGTATTTTTATTGTGTATTACCACACATATGGACTTAGTAAATTTCATATACATCAATATATAAGGAAGATTTTTACTAAGCATACTTTGAAGAACAATTCCTAGAAAATAGTAAATACTAGATAAATGTTCATTATTTGTATAAATGTGCCCTTTCAAACTAGATTACTGAAGGATTAAGAAAAGATCCTGTTTTATTTTACAATGCTGTATACTGTGGTGTCACAATCATGGACTTGGGATGATTAATGACTAATTGAGATATTAAATGACTCTAAATAGCTTAAATATCCAAGCAATTTTATTCTTTCTTTCACTCCAAACAGAAACTTTTAATATTATTATCTTCATTGCAATGATGAAGAAACTATGACTTAAAAGGATTATGCCATTCTCAAGAGGCTGAGAAGTTTCATATATGAGTATAGGCTGAGACTCTGTATGTGTGTGTCTGTGTGTGTATTTATACACACATATGAAAAAAGTCATTGCATTTGTGATTTTATCTGTAGGATACTCAGTTTAATTAAGGTTTATTATACAATCCTCTGTATAAATACTTTAGTTCACTTAAAATTTCCTGCATTTCTGAAGCATGATCTTTTTTTAAAATTAATTTTTATTGGGGTATAGTTGCTTTACAATATTGTGTTACTATATAGCACAGGGAACTCTACTTAATGCACTGTGGTGAAAGACAGTCTTAACACTGTTATTTACAGGTCAGAAAACTGAGGAGACAATTATTCAAGAACAGAACCAAGGTTATGTATCAATACTCTCTTGTGGAGCTTGGATTTAGGACCATGTCAGCCTGGATCCAAACCTCATGTTTTATTGCCTCCAATATCTCCTTTTCACATACTTTAGATAAGTCAGTCATTTTTTTAAACCAGTATAATCAAAATCTTCAGGCTGATGTGTATGTGTAGAATTTATCAAAATTGTAATTAAAATATAATAAGTGAATTAGATCAACACATATGGTGATTATATTTAGGTTTTGCAAAATATCGTTTACTCGGGCATTTTCCGTTAATTGGAGCTAAGGGCCAGAATGACCACACAGTTTCACTAACATCAGTTGGCTCCCTCACTCCCCGATGAGACCTGACTTTATTAATAGCCTCTCAGTGTCATACTTGTCCTAGATTGTGAAAATGGACTCACACCTCCAGCAGCCTTTGTTGAGACGTATAACACCTCTCAGAGCTCCCAAAGGCTACCCTGCAATGTTTGATCAGCTCCAGAGAGAAGAGCCCTGTCTAAAGCAGTCATTCTTCTCAGGCATGGAGGAAGCAGTTGCTTAGAAACAGGGATTACAAAAGAGCTCTTAGAATAGCTACTCCTAAACTCAGGTTTTCTTCAGTTTCAGGCCTCAGATAGTCATTCAAAGAGGCATAATATGAATAGCGAGCCCAGCTGGACTTATGTAATGACATGAAGAGAAATGGCAAGTCCATGGCCAATGCAGACAAATGTATTCAGCAAAGCACTTGGCACAGAGGTGGCATTGAGCAAATACTTGCTTCATGTTGAAAAGAATTATGGTTTTCCTGAATTTGAATGGCATAGTAAAGGGAACTGAAACATAAATCGAAGGGTATGGGCTTAAACTTAATTTTGTCGCTTATTGTTAGCTTGGCCTTTGATAATTTAAATACTTTCCCTAGCTTCTGTTTCTCCATCATTTCAATAGAAATGATGATAGTTATTCATTTGGTTGACCATACAGGTTATTCATGAATATAAGAAGACCTTGTAAATTTCAATATATTGTAGTATTTTATGTTCATTTAAGCCTTACAAGAATCTTCAAATGATTATATTTTCATACCTACAAATAAATGCCTCTAGCATTGAGCATGCTGTGCTGTAGTTGGAAATGTTTTATTTTTGTCTACACCACCAAGCTGTGAACACTTGAGGAACCACATTTTTATTTCTCAATATAACACATAAATCTTCACATATCATGTTCAACAAATGCTTGCCAAATGATTAAACTGGATAAATAAGATACAAGAATGTTTTCAGATATTTTTGCTATCCTCAAATCTTTTGGCCAGACAGATTTCTGAGGGTGTCGAAGCAGAGTTAGACTGATAATTATATAAATACAATTCCATTTAAATGAAATGTTTTTTTTTTTGTTCACTGATGTATTGCCTTTGACCTGAAACTTAAACGGAATTATGCTTGTTTACAAGAAAAAGGCTATGTTGTTGCCCGTCCCGACCAAGAAGTAAACTCTGTGAGGGCAAAGACTAGGTCTGTTTTGTTTACATCCCAGCAACAGTTTTTAGCAGGTATTAAATGTAGTAGGCACTCAGATGCCTAACTTAGTCTTTACTAGAATCCATTTGTAATTTTAACTTTCAAGATAAAATTTAGGAGATAAAATATTGGCAAAGGAACTTAATAGTCACTAAAGTACAAAAGTAATGCTCTATTTAAAGAAGAATAACTTTTACATACCTTGCTGATTTCAAATCCAAAGACTTCCTCAAAATATGCTGGCTGACTAATAAGCAATAAATAAAAAGTCCAGCTTCTGCAGAAGTTTGCAACAATTATTGCATAGACTGGCATAGATGTAAAAAATTTTCTCCATGGAGTCTTGAATTTCTGAAATTCCAAAAAAAGAGCCATTCTGATCACTTTAAATATTTCCTAACTTAAACAAGAATCATAGATACTTTTGCATTTTTAGGATGTGTATGCATAAGCATGAGTGGGAGATAGGCAAGAGGTAGTGAGTTGTTAATTGCAACAGTCCAGTTAACCTTAGCTGCATAAATAACTGTTGGAAGAAGGAAAGAAGATACGGCTCTCCTTCTGATTAAGTTGTTTCAGTTTTAGAAATATATAAGATTCTATTTTTCTCAAAAAGTAATTCCAAATGCATAGACCCTAGTTTCCAAGATTTTTGTTTTATTTTGTTTTGGCAGTGATAGATCAGGCCTCCGCTAAAACTCGCTGCCAAATCAATGACCTCATTGGTATCTGACATATTTTATTTAAAATGCTGAAAATTCAATGCAGTTAGGAGAAGAAAATAGGAAGAATGTGCAGTATTCTAGACCCCATCAAAAGTTAATGATAACATCACCTAACTACAAATTCTCTTGTTAGCCAATGGATATCAGTATAAATTCTGTGACACTAAAGTGCAAGACTCTTTAAAATTCACATCATATACATCTGGGTTAAGCATTTGGCCATCCAGCACACCATAACTAGCTATTTATGATATGCAAGACATTCAAAATTAACTTAAATATGATTGGCTTTGCTTATGAAACTCATTAAAAAATTACACCAAGTATATTTAAAGATGCTGTGTATGCCCAAATACAAAGCAATTATCTTCCCTCAAGACTAATATTCTTACACCTTAAAAAATTTCTCATAGTTCCAAACACTTTCTTAATTCTTTATTTTGAACACAGAAATACTCTTTGGTGAAGGAACAATCACCTAATATAAATGTTTATCACTAGTTTTGGATTTTTTTTAGTATTATATATTTATTTTGGCTTTGTTTATTTTGATGTTATTTGTTTATTTAGGCTGTTCTGGGTCTTCGTTGTTGCGCAGGCTTTCTCTAGTTGTGATGAGTAGGGCCTTCTCTCTAGCAGCAGTGGACGGGCTTCTCATTGAGATGGCTTCTCTGGGTGAGGGGTGTGAGCTTAGCTGCTCCCCAGCATGCAGGATCTTCCCGGCTCAGGGATCGAATCCATGTCTCCTGCATTGGCAGGTGAATTCTTTCCCTCTGAGCCACCAGGGAAGCCCTGTCTTGGATTCTTAACCTGATAAGTTAGTAAAAGAGGTGGCAAACAGTTTTGTTTTTTTTTTTTTTACAAGATTTAGTCATTATTGCTGGGTGTAGAGCCTCATAATTACTAGCAGTGGTTGTGAATCTAATGAAACTTTTTATAGATCACTTTAAAGCGATATAGTAGGAAGATACATTGTGGTGATCTCAGGGAACAAATTAAAAAACAAAAACCTGTCCTAATAATAAATAGTGAGTATTTTGGCTTTAGCTAAAAGTTTCTAATGACACCATCATAGAGGGATTTAAAAAGTGCAAGCTCAAAAGAATTTTTTCCTGATAAGTTCTAGAAAAATGGTGCCAAATGAATATACTTATTTCAAAGATAATAAAAATGACCAAATACAGGAACATCTATTATAGCACTGTATTTTAATAAGTAATAACTTCAGAAAATTTTAAGAAGAAAATAACTTTTTCTTGCTGAGAAGGTGTTGTTTTTAATTTTTACAAGGATCATCTTCATTAAGTCCTTTTTCTTCAGGCCACAAAGCACTTCTTCAAATGTAAGAGAAAGTGTCTAGTCATCTCTCTTAAAAAATTGTTGATGGCTGGTAGTGGGGCTTGTAGTATTTTGATAAAATTCTATTTACTGAACTGGTTGTTTGTTTCATAGGTGTGTTTAGTTTGTAAAAATACAGCAAGTTATTTGCTTATGATTTTTGCATTTTTCTGTTTGCATATTTAATTATTTCATAGAGAAAAATAATAGATTTAAAAGACATAAGAACCAGCTACAATATGTGATCCTTAATTTGATCCAAACTCCACAAACAATGGCTACAAAAGATGTGAATATTGATTAGATATTAGGATTGAACTGGGCATCTGAAATTTCAATATGATCTAGTATTGGATAATGTTAGAGACTTACTTTTAGTTGTGTTAAGTATGATGATAGTACTTAGATTATAAAGGAGAATATTATTTTTCTAGAGAAGCATATATTTGTGGGTAAAATATTATGATATCTCATTTACTTTAAAATTGTTCAACAAAAAGAAAAGTGAAATAAATAAGGCAAGATGTTAAAAACTTTTGTTTCTATGCAGTGGATATATGGATATTCCTGTTACTTATTCTTTCTGTTATATGTTGAACTTGATCACAATAAAAGTTAAAAATAACTAAAATACAAGGCCTATTCCCACTTGATCTCATTTTTAAATTTTCTTCAGGAAAGTAAACAGAAAAAATCAGTAAGAAGTAAAACATTGTGTTTAGAAAAACAATAAGATCTAAGAAATGGGGAGTTTGAGCTTGCCTATACTGTTTTCTCAATCTACTGATTATTCTCTTTTGAGTCATTTCCAGAAATTGGTTTTCACTTAGACTAAATTTCTTGCTGTTTAAAAAAATATACACCTCACCTCAACACACAATCTTTCAAGAACTGGTAAATAAAAGAAGCATATTTTATCAATGATGATATGGGCTAATCAGAATATTTTGGATTAGAACTTGAAGCTAAGTATGAACCCGCTCCCACATCATCACTTGTTTCTTGAATAGCTACCATCAGAAAAAAATTATCAGTCTACTTACAGAAGAAAACAGGAAGGGGAGCATTCTAATGCCAGCCTATTTAGCTAATGGAACAACTACAATGTAAGATTTTTTTTTTTTAAAGTACTGGCTTAATTTCAAATGTTACCCAATATGGCATTTTCTTTTTCATTAAAGGCCAAGATGCCCTCAGCAACAATGGGTGACAGACCTTTTTTCCTAGAATGAGATGTCAGGGACAGGCCTTTCCTAAAAAATGCAGTAGAGAATCAGAGCTAAAATCAAATACAACTGAAGTTGGGAGAAGCATAATGCATAAGAGATACTGGTTCCTCAACCAGTGTACCATAACTTTCAACTCTTAGCATAAAGAAATTGAGTTGATTAGGTCCTGAATTACCAAAACTGTCTACAATACTTTTCCTTAAGGGTTATATTTTATTTTTATAGCATCAGATGAGTATTCATTGGTGTACTAAAATATTTGTATTACTGTTATAGAACTGCATTTCTTTCTGTCAGCAAATCCTGCCCAAGAAACTAAATTATAATCAGAAAAAGGCTTTACAACATTATAACACTTTATCTTCATATGATAATCCTAAAAATGGTAATATTTTATCAATAAAAGGGTTATTATTAAGAATATTTTTCAGATTAGCTACCTATGGTTGGCATGCTAATGTTTTAGTATTTACAAAATTGTGTAGAAATACACATGTATAAAACTTAGATTTAGAATATTCAATGAGTAAAAATATCTCCTTTCATGACTGTGTTAGGTGATTTGACATTTCCTGTAATCTAAATTTAACAAATATTGGTTGAATTTTGTTTCAATTAGCTATGTTGAGCTATTTTTAAAAATTTACTGAGGTTTACAGCTACAGTATTATAGCTATAATCCAGTTAAACTTTGAAGGTGCTTAAGAAAAGTTAAAGAAAAAAAGAAATCATAGATGGAAGAAGGCGCAATCATTTCTAAGTCAGGGAATATGCATGGAGTTAAAAAAAAAATCAATCATGACTGATACCAAATTAGTTTTTCTGAATAGGGACACATAAAACAATCTGCTTGGTCGAAGAGAGGTGAGATGGAGAACAAGAATAGGAATATACACCATAATAAAGTTCTTACTTCCATTGCACCTAAAAGATTTGCACTCTCTCCAATGCTTTCTTCTATGTACCTACGTTCTTCATCTGTAATAGTAGGATGCTTTGCAGGACTCTCGTAGGACACCAAAAGCCAAAACATGTACCAGATCATTCCAAAGCTTCCTAAAAGTAAGAGTTCAAAAGGAGGAAGTCAAGTAAAGGCATACTCCCCTAACTATTTCTGTTTAACAGTCAGTAGCTGGGATAAAACTACAGTAATATTGTGACAGGATGATAAAATGTGAATTTGAGCTTATGCATCTCCAAATGAATCTAGCCATCTCTATTTGTCTTTTGTCACTAGACTTCATGCAAGACTGATGCTGTAATTTAATCTTTGTCACTGTTAAACAATGCTGAAACACAGGAAACTCACAATAAATAATTATTGAATGGTATAGTTTGGAACATGTTTGTACATTCAACAAATATTTACTGAACAGTTACTTTTCCGAGTACTCTGCGGAATGAGAGAAATATGATAAACAAGAGAAAATTTCTGTCCTCAAAAAATTTTGCTGGGACTAAATCCTTTTATTTGTGTCTGTCTTTAATATGGGTAGTGGTCTGCATTTCCAGGGAAAAGGAATGCTTTTTCCCCTCTCCTGTTAGCACTTTCAGATCTAGTAATGTGTTAGTTGCTCAGTCGTGTCCGACTCTTTGCAACCCCATAGATGATAGCCGACTAGGCTCCTCTGTCCATGGCATTCCCAGATCTATTAAACAGACTGTTAAATAAAATCTAGAAGAATACTCTTGGGCTTCTCTCATAGTTCAGTTGGTAAAGAACTGGCCCGCAATGCAGGAGACCCCAGTTCAGTTCCTGGGTTGGGAAGATTCCCTGGAGAAGGGATAGGCTACCCACTCCAGTATTGGTGGGCTTCCCTTGTGATTCAGCTGGTAAAGAATCCGCTGGCAATGAGGCATACCTGAGTTCAATCCTTGGGTTGGGAAGATCCCCTGGAGAAGGGAAAGGCTACCCACTCCAGTATTCTGGCCTGGACAAGTCCATGGACCAGTCCATAGGTTCGCAAAGAGTTGGACACAACTGAGCGACTTTCACTTTCAACTTTCAGAAGAATATTTTAGCCTGAATAGCTACTGTACATGAAAAATGGGCTTCTGTAATTAATGTGGTAATATCTAACAGTTTATGTGACTGTATACCACAGTATATACTATTGCCTATTGATCATTGTTTGGACAGATGAAAGTTACAAATTCCAATACAATAAACATGCTACTGCAAGTTCTATTTCATCCCTTTATTTAGCATTTTCACCATTAAAATATGCCCTAACTGTGCAATATAAATCTCAAGCATCAATAGCAGAAAAAAGTCACATAATGTATCCTGATTCTCATCAACTGGCCATTTCATTTTTCCCTCATCCTGTTCTATTTCTCCCCTGGGTAACAATCTAATCCATGATCGCTATAGTACTGTTTTTTTTTTGGTGGGGGGCTAGTCAGTCTCTAAGTGCTTGTTAATATTGTAACTTCTGATGTACTGTGCCCTTTTAATTACTGAATGTGATAGCAAACACAATTTGGAATCAGATGGTGTGTGACAATTTGGTAGAGTATAGTGGTTGTAGAATATGGTTCTCCCATATTCAAATTGCAGCTGTGTCACTCATAAGCTACATCTTCTAATCAGTAACTAAATCTCTGAAAATCTCTACTACCAAATGAGGTAATTCATTTTTTAATAAGATTTTTGCAAACAAGTTAAAGAAGGCAAAACGTAAAGAAACTAGCATAGTGGATGGCACAAGAAAAGCACTCAATAAATGAGAACTCTTGTAATTGAGTAATAATTATAATTTCCACTAACTGAATACATCTGAAGTGCTAGACGCTCAGCTAATTGAAGTATATGCATTATCTTTTTAAAACTTAAGCTGCCATATGGGTCTTATCTCATTAATTTTTAAAAAATGAGTATTGAATGTGTGGCTCAAAGACCAATCTTTTGTCATATACAGAAAGTAAGCAAGTACTGTTATTTTTATATTTTCAGATTGTGCATGCGTGTTAAGTCACTTCAGTCATTGTGTCCGACTCTGTGACCCTATGGACTGTAGCCCACCAGGCTCCGCTGTCCATGGGATTCTCCAGGCAAGAAAGCTGGAGTGGGTTGCCATGCCCTCCTGCAGAGGATCTTCCCAACCCAGGGATTGAACCCACATCTCTTATGTCTCCTGCATTAACAGGTGGGTTCTTTACCACGGTGCCACCTGGGAAGCCATTCAATGATAAGTATTAAATGAGATATAACTTGAAATAATGAGGTAGGTTTTCTTGGGTCCTTTATGGAAAATTCATATTCTTAAAGTCACATCACATCGTCAATTAAATAATGGACAGAGAATTTAATGGCTGGCCATACCAACTTTACTATATACCTTGTAAGTAAGTGCTTTAAATATCTTTGAATTATGGGCTTTAAAATAAAATCAAACAAAAGCTATGGATTAAAATCTGTTAAAAAAATTTCTCTAGAAAACAAAAATATGTTCAACTGCATATATAGCTCACCATTTAGGGTATTCATGAATACAAAACCCAAACATGGCTTTTGAACCAGGATAAGATCCTCCACTATTTATATTCTACAAATATAAGAATTTGCTTTGATGAGAACATTTCAAAATGAAAATGGATCATAGCACATTTGGAAGCAGCCAAATTCTGTTCTATTCTCCCACATAACTTCATTAATCTTTCAGATTCTCCTGCCCATGTCCAAAACTGGTATTAATCAGTGACAACATCAGTTGGAATCCAGATCTCTTATCTTTCTTCTTTCCTCTTTATTAAAAAAGTGTATCTTAGTGAGAGACTATGGGATACTTTCAAGAAGTAAGATTCCATATTCTGGTTAGAAAGTGATTAGAAAGGGAGTTTGGACTTTGGGCTTCCTGTCATTCTTATTTCCACTTGGGGGCTTAATCTTTTTTAATTCTGGATAAATGTGGACTAAAATGTGGTGCCCCTGCAGTGACTGCTAATATTTCATCACAAGATTCAATGTTTGCATTAACACTAATATGGCCTTTCAGCTTCCTACCCTATTGAGTCTCAAGGAAATTGAATCAGGGAAATGACCAAGAAAGCAAGAATCAAAAAGAGAGTTGGTGCTGCCTAGCTTCTTCCTTTTAATCAGCTTTGAATCAAGAGCTAAGTTAAATTTTTCATAATCAAGGACAACACATACTGTACATTACAAAGTTTCCATTAGCAATGTGATTGCTTTTAAAAATAATAAATAACATTGCAGAGAAAATCACAGAGATAGAATATTACCCTTGATCTTAGATTATAAAGAAAAGAATCAATGAAATAACAATAATGAGTAAACACAGAAGTATATTCATTGCTCTATCACACTGCTTTAGTTTATGCACATTTCTTTTAACTCTATTGTAAGGAAATGCAACATACCATAGACATAGAATACGGAAGACCAGCCAGTATACTGCACAAGAATGCCAGCTAAAGGCATTGCAATCACAGCTCCAGCATAGGAACCTAAAGTAGAAGAGAAAATGAGAGAAAGGTAAGTGAAGTCAATAGAAATTCTTGACTTCATCTCATTTTCCTTGGCTGGATCTTACAAACACATCCTTGCACACTTGGATGTATATGCACTCTCATCCATATACTTCAAACACATATCCAGCAGTACAAGACTACACAAGTGAATATAACCTACACACCCAAGCCAGAGATATAATAATAGTACAACACTATAATAAAAAACAAATTCCAAAAACTAAAATAAAAATAATTAGTGAATATATTTGAAAATTAAATATATTTGAAATTAATCAGAATTAATTAATAAACTCCCAGAAAAATACATGTAAGAGGGAGTAGAAGATTTGAGTAAACCAAATATAATTAAAGAAATTGAAATGATGGGTCAGAAACATTTCCTCATGCACACATACAGACACACCTCAAATTGTTTTACATGTGCATTTTAGCAACTTCTAATTTTTACAAAACTTGTTCCTAAGCTTTTATGCACATAACTGTATCTGTACATAATACTCACCACAAAAGGAGGTGGTTGCCAACCGACTCCTCTCTAAAGGGGGAGCCCATTTGCTCCATATCCCATGACATGCTGGGTAGGTGACACCCTGTGATGGAAAGAGATATATCAGCACAGTGTAGAATCTTGGAACATAGGAAAATAAGTCCATTCACTTCTCTGATGTGATGCTGTTTTCTTAGAATGGGCACAGTGTCCCCAGTTGCCATGTGAGGCCTTTCTTTGCTGATTCCATAAAATTCCATTTTAAAAACTTTCAGCCCAGACCAGGTAAGACATGACATCTTTTTAGTCACTTGTTCAAATTATCCCCACCCTTCAAAAACTTCCTTTTACCTCAATTTTCTTCTGATTAAGGCCAAAGAAAAGATCCTCTATTATTCAGTTCATCTGCAATTCTGAACAATTTGAGAGACATTTTTGTAAGGGGTTAAACTTAGTGATTCCCAAATAAAAGGAATCCCCTACAGAAGAAGGTGCAGCTTAGATCCTTGAAGGTTGTTATACTTCCTGAAATTAGCGTCTAAAATTTAAAATCTTTAAAATATTCTTTTTTTTTATTGTTTTGATCCTATCATTTTTTCTTTCTATTTGGAAAGACAGGAAACTGTTTTCAGTGCCTTAATACTTTTTCTGACTTATCTACTGCCACTGTATTTCACGGAAAGAGAAAGGGTATGTCATTCTCAAGTTTTAAATGATATTCTTTCAAATGCTACAGGTTGATGGAGCAAAAATCAATCACTAGAGTTGATGCCCATAGAATACATTTGATGAAACTTTTTTTTTTTTAGTGAAAATTCAGATCATGATGTAAAACCAACAGGGACTTGTTATAAAACTCTCCAAATGTATTAATTCAGAGGATGGGCTCAAAATTTTTATCACAGCACATTAACAAAAACGCCTGCTTTTTTTTTTTTTTTAAAGTCAGTCACTAAACACTTAAATATCACTCAGTTCTAAAGAAGTGGGGATAAACAGCCACAGTGGTAGTTTGTCATCATTTAAAGATACCTGATTTCTAACTTTTCTAATTTTTTTTTAGCACCATGTAGACACAACCCAATACAATGTGTTTGTAGGTCAAAACAAAGATAACCTTCTGATTCTTATTAGCATGCCAACCTTAAAATGATGTCATCCTGTAGGTCCATACCTCAACAAGTCCCTGCAGTATCCTAACAAAGATGACACACCCATAATGCACTCTGGCTGCTGATGGGATTAGCATATTCAGGGTAGAGGTAAGAAGTATGGCAGCTCCGAAAACCCTGAAAAATAAAAGGAGTTAACAGATCTACATTTCTCAGACCAAGTTAATTACAAGCAATTTCAAGATAGACTGTGTTTTGTTTTGCTTTTGTTTTTGTTTTTTTTTCTTTCTAAAAGAATAAGAATGTTCTGAACTGGATTGGCTAGCCATTGCAAATAGATATTGGACTATCTTGAACTGCTACATTATTTGAAGCACAAAACTCAAATTTCAAAAAATGAAGATCATGGCATCTGGTCCCGTCAATTCATGGCAAATAGATGGGGAAACAATGGAAACAGTGAGAGACTTTATTTGGGGGGGGGGTGCTCCAAAATCGCTGCAGATGGTGACTGCAGCCATGAAATTAAAAGACATTTGCTCCTTGGAAGAAAAGCTATGACCAACCTAGATAGCATGTTAAAAAGCAGAGACATTACTTTGTCAACAAAGGTCTGTCTAGTCAAAGCTATGGTTTTTCCAGTAGTCATGTATGAATGTGAGAGTTGGACTATAAAGAAAGCTGAGTGCCAAAGAACTGATGCTTTTGAACTGTGGTGTTGGAGAAGACTCTAGAGAGTCCCTTGGACTGCAAGGAGATCCAACCAGTCCATCCTAAAGGGAATCAGTCCTGAATATTCACTGGAAGGACTGATGCTGAAGCTGAAACTCCAATCCTTTGGCTACCTGATGTGAAGAACTGACTCCTTGGAAAAGACCCTGATGCTGGGAAAGACTGCATGCAGGAGGAGAAGGGGACGACAGAGGATGAGATGGTTGGATGGCATCACCGACTCAGTGGACATGAGTTTGAGCAAGCTCCAGGAGTTGGTGATGGACAGGGAAGCATGGTGTGCTGCAGTCCATGGGATCGCAGAGTCGGATACAACTGAGCGACTGAACTAAACTGAATAAATCTGCTTATAGTTAATTTTAGTCACTTTCCTCATAGATATAGTTACAAATTGTAAATAATCAAGCACTGTATATGGTTTGAGTCTATAAATCTTCTACAATGTAAGCTGCTGAAAGGCGAGAGCTTGCTTTTCAGATACACTGCTGTATCCCTAATGCCTAGCACAGTGCCTGATACACAGAGATGCTCACTGGAGAGCTGCTGAAGAAACAGTGAGTGCCTAGACAGAGTTGTGTCTAGCGTGATACCCTGAGGTATGGAAATTATAACACCATTCATAAAATTTTATGAAGGGAATCATATGTAAATGCTCCCCAGATCTCATGAGGAGCTCCCATAGGACATATTTTTAAAATAGAAATAATACTTCATATATCTACCTCAGTTTTTTTTTTTCCATGTAGGTGGTTGAGTGGAGGGGTTCTGGGTACACCTCTCTTTGCATACATGTAAACAATTCAAAATAGAATTGCTAACACATTTATCCATCTGCAAGTAAAAATTATATTCCATTATTAACCAAAAAAATCTTTCATAAAGACCCTGATGCTGGGAAAGTTTGAAGGCAGGAGGAGAAGCGGACGACAGAGGATGAGATGGTTGGATGGCATCACTGACCAACTCAATGGACATGGGTTTGGGTGGACTCTGGGAGTTGGTGATGGACAGGAAAGCCTGGCGTGCTGTGGTTCATGGGATCACAAAGAGTTGGACACGACTGACTGACTGAACTGAACTGAAGCAAGAAAAATATCCCCTTAACCAGGTAACTTTAGAAATTTGTCTTGCAGAGAAATTTGAGGACACATTACCTCTAGTGAGCTAAGCTGTGTGTTCTCAGCAAGTTTTTTCAAGGCAAACATTGAACCTTGAATTCAGTCAAAATTGGCTGCCTCATGGAAGTTCTCATTTTTCTAGGAGCATGTTTAAATGTAACTGTTAAAGACATGAGTTTCTGAAAGAGCCTTGATCATTATTAATCTGCTACTGAAATTTGAGAAAGGACTTCATGAAGGGCTGAAGTGGATCAGCTTTTTTATATGAATCATAGACTGGGCCACAAAGTTGCGTTTACTTGCCATAGCCCAATAATGCACCTGTCCTCAACGACTTCTCTTCACCGAGGTAAACAGTCACTCAAGAGGTGAATATTCTCTTCTGTTCTTCCTGTGTGCTGTTTCCTGAATAGGTATCTTTGGCTCTGAGTCAGAGTAACTTATTTCCTAAATGTTTGGCACAAAATAGAAACTTTTTATTTCTAGAAATGATTATCCCCATTAAAATGCCAGGCAATATTAAACTTCTGCCAACTATGGATTTATTTTCCAGAAATTAAATGCAAAAACCCCATATCCTGTCTTTAAAATATAAAAACACAAAATTGTTATTAAAATTGATCAAAAATGTATTTTTATCCTTCATTATTTTCAGTTGAATTTTCATCTGTCTCAAGACTGAAATCCACATGCTGTTATGTGGAAGCTCCAGAACATTTTGGAGGTTTCCTTTAGGGCTGAGAAGAGCTAGATAGAAGGGAGTGTATGTAGCAAGTTTCCTGGACCTAGTGGGAAATGGTACCCAATCCCCAAAGCCAATGTCTTTCCCCTGCTCTGCAAGTTTGAATGTTGAACCTGTATACCAGAAAGGGTGAAAGCAGAGAGAGACGATGACACAGCAGGTTTGGGTTTCTGGGTAGGTTTCTGTATGTTGGAAAACTACTGTTGTTTCTGTAGCTCCATCTTACTTTCCTTATCATGCTCAATAAAAATGAGACTGAAGCTACTTAAGACATCAAGGATAAAGAGAACCAGAGCTACATAATGCTAAAGGAGTTTCAAAAGTGTTTATATGAGTTAGACATCCAACTACCCCATTCAGCTCTTTGGAAGAATTCCTTCAAACTGTTGTCCATGAACCAGCTGCATTAGAATTCCCTGGAGTGCTTATTAAAAATGCAGACTTCTTACTCCAGACTTTCCAAAACAGAATGTGCTAAGAGTGAAGCCTGGAAATCTGTTGTAATAAGCAGTCCAGGTGATAATTTTGCATGTGCATGCTAAGGTTTGCAAATATATATATATATGTATGTATATATGTTTTTTTAACAGGCTTATCTAATATATGTCTTCTTTTCTAACACTTATTTTGAAAGAATGATGCATGGCATTTATTTTATAGCTTTCAATCATCAGTTTCTTTCTGCCTGTTTGAAAGAGTTTAAAACACTGCTATCTCTAGATAAACTGGAGAGAGATTAATTTTATCTTTTTTTAGTTTAGGGTTTCTCAACCTCCACACTTGATATTCTGAGATGGATAAAATTCTTTATTGTAGGATGTAGTCCTGTGCATTGTATGATGATGTAAACAGCACCCTGACCTTTATGCACGAGATGCCAGTAGCACATGCCTCCAAATGCTGACAACCAAAAATGTCCCCAGAATCACAAAATATCCCTTGGGGGGCAAAATCATCTGCCAGTAAAGCTGGATCAATCATGAACTATTTGTTCTTCAACTCATATTGTAGTCAGAACTAAATTTAATGAGTGATTATTCAACTGGTGAGACATCATGCTTATACTTCACATACCAAAAATCAAACAACCCAATGACATGGCATTGCTAATATACCCATTTTCTAGATGAAGTAAGTAAGTGATATCACTTGCCAAAGTTGCTAAGCAGCTCTAAGTAGAGGACTCTTGTTTAAAATCTAGTCTATATAATTCCAAGTTCAGTGGGTTTTGCTGCTGGGATTTACATCTAATTGTGCACATAATATACAGTCAGTAATGTGTTTCAGAATTAAATTGCAAATTTAAATACTCATATTCACAAAATTACTTGAAATTACACTATTCCTGAGATTAAAAATGTCAGTAGATTACTTTCAATGTTTATTTTCCATTCTTACCCTGAATACTGTTTCTAATTATATAATCTGTGACATTTCTAAATGCTTCCTAGTTTTAACTTTCTTAATTTGTTTAGCCATCCTTTTTATTATCAGTGGCCATTGCATTATAAAAGTGGATTGACTTTTTCTAACTATTTAAGAATATAATTCATAAAACTTTTCAGAATCTGTTTTTTTTCTAATTTTATGAAAATGATATCTAAATCAATATCCAAGTAATTAAAATTATGATTATCAAAATTCTTGGCCAATATGGAAAATCTTTACATTTTTCTTACTCTACTACAGATAGTCAAAACTGAGACAGCCACTTCATTCAACATTGATTTATGCTTTCACACTCCAAACCTCTATGAGACTATATTTAGGGTACTATGTTGAGGAGGAAAAGGGAGCCAAAATTTACAGAGCACTTACTATACTTTTTCCACCTACATTAATTCATTTAATCCTCACAACAACTCTGAGTTACACTTTCCTTTCATTTTACAAATCAGAGACTACAGACAGATTTTGTAAGAGAAAAAAGCAAGCAATAGAGCTGATATCTGAATTCCAGACTCTCTGACATGGAAATCTGTAAATCTCTGCTCTTTTATCTACAAGATGCAACTTGTTGTTATTGTTGTTTAGTGGCTAAATCGTGTCTGACTCTTTGGGACCCCATGGCCTGCAGCCCACCTGGCTCCTCTGTCCATGAGATTTCCCAGGCAAGATACTGGAGTGGGTTACCATTTCCTTCTCCAGGGGATCTTCCCAACCCCAGGATCAAATCTGCATCTCCTGCATTAGCAGGCAGATTCTTTACTGCTGCCCCACCAGAAGAGCCCACATGATGCAACTAGGCACCTAGAAAAAGAGACAAAGATGTGCTATGTGTAGTAGAAGAGCAAAAGAAAGATAACTAGCCAAAAAACAACATACGCTAAAGGCCATAACAGGAGTGCAAATGGAAAGCAAAGGAGGGAAAAGTCCATTCCAGCTGCATGACAGGGAAACAAGTCCTTCGGGAGGTAACTTTAAAGTTGGGTTTTGGAAGATTAATATGAAAAAGGATGAAGACATTCCAAAGAGGAAATGAATCAGCAAAGTTTCAAAACATGGAAGAGATTACATTATATATCCCAAACAAAGGCAGAATTGAAAATGGCTGAACATAGTGATACACGTGAGTAGAAGAACAT